TTCCCTATCTCTGCATCCTTGCAAACATGTCTCACAAAACAATCCAAAGGGAGGAAGAGATAAAGAAAGAGCAAAAATAAGTAATGTTTTACCCTGTGTGCTTTGTCTGCAGGCCTGCCACTCTGGAAGAAAACGAGCCCACAAGTTACCAAACTTTTTTACTGTATAGCTGTTATACCCATTTCCCACCCCATTTGCATTAGGCTCTAAGCCTCCCCACCTAGCCCTCTGGTAATAATCAAGGTAATCTATGAGCTAACTGTCAATATAAGCCATATTATTTGCCTGAAAAGAAAAAAAGAAAAAAGAAATTTGTACAACGAAAAGTAGATTGCAGATAAATGGAGTGGGGCTGGGGGGGAATAAAAGGACAAAAGAAAGACAGGACAAGGTGGTCTTCCTCACTATGTTCATTTTGTACTCAGTCATTCATTTACACCAGATGCAGAATTCCTTTCTGCAGTGAGTGAATTGCGTTGTCATTAATGTAAAATTAGCTCCAAATGATCTTGGCCAAGAGCTTTGAAATATGTTAGCATAGAACCACTCACTCAAAAAACATGTGGGAATCCATGTGGGTTTCCAGATGTGAGAATCTTCTGTGATATAAATATAGTTATGTTTATGTAGCATAATATTCTGCTCTGTGGATATACTCTAGATGCAGCTGTGTTTCCAGTAGTGGTATAAGTATGTTACTGTGGTGCTCTGCCTGAGTGAATGCCTCTTGTTCCTCATAGTGAGTCCATTCTAATAATGACTGCTTGTAAACAGACATTGTCCTGCAAGTTAAAATACTCCTTCAAGAAATGTAAGGAATTCACTATGAGCTCGTATATTAGTTTGAGAGTGAAAATTTGAAAAATTCCTTGTTTAATTTTTGATTTTTTTTTTTGATTTTCACGTGTTTTGCTACTTATTGTTTTTCCCTGTCTGACTGATTTTTTCATCAGTGAGTACTTTCTGCACTAGGATTAAAATTTAAAAGCCTGAGGAAACTTTGAAGAGGTCATAATTTTTTCTTTGCTATCAAAATGAGTGCTTAAGGTTGTGGTTTGATTTCAGTTATGTTATCAAAAGTACATTGATTGCTACCAAGATTAGCTGAATCTCAATATAATGACCTGATTTTATGTTCATCTAAATAAAGCTCTCTACACATAATGGTAGTCTGTTGATGCTTTTTTGTTTTGTTTTGTTTAAAAGCCCTTAACATCTCAATTTCTTTAATGCAGTTGTCGTCTTTTGTTTGTGTAGGAAGTGAACTCAAAGTGTCAAGAAAAGTTTAATGGGTTGAATAAATCTATAAAACTGAGTTTAAGTACATCAGCTGGTGCCGGAACTGTAAAGTAAGCAGTCTATAGTAGCGGTTATTAACTATTATTAATGTTTCAACACGTGAATACAGAATGGTGACTGAAAATAACCTAAAATGTCTTTCTTGTTCACTTTGTAGTGTCACCTTGTAATTTCTAATTGCCACAAGAAGTTTTACAAAGAAATACTATTTCCTGCCTGACTGAAAACTGTCTCCATTCATTAATATGAAAAACCCGTTTTCAGGTGTAATCCATACACCCTGTGCTACATAGGCTGTGGTCTCATCATGTCAGGGTCATATATCAAACAGGGTCATATCACTCCTGTAGTTGGATAAGAAATCTTCAGGGAAAGAAAAAATCAGCTAGACATCTGATATTGATCTTTCCTCTGAAATGACAGTAGCTCCATGCTGTAGCACAATGTAAAGTAAATTCTGTGTAATAGTCATTACACGGTGAATAAAATCATTGTTTGACATAAATCACTGCAGCCTTAGGGAGTTCATCAGATTGTCAACTGATCCTTTGTCTTGTGGAGGTTGGGTAAAACTGAGGTTTTAATTGTAGAAGGCATCTTTTTTTATTAAATGTTGCATAGTATCTGTAACATAATGTATATTATTACATCTTCTACATCTCATATTTCATGGGCAAATGTATTATGCATATCTATAATATGTCTTGTACTTTTCATTATAATCTTTAAATTATCAGGGATTATTGTGCTTCCCTATTACCAAAGAACATTAAGGATTGTAAAGGCTAGAAGTAACTCCCTATTGCGAACCCCTCTAAGCAAAATATCCTTTGCTATTCTTCACCATTAGTAGCTAGTATCAGTCATTATCTTCAATATAAAATTTTAAGAAATGTGCAGTAAAGGAAACCTGTGGGATAAAAATGATGGGAGTGTGCCACTGGCTGAGTAAGAAATTGGCTGGAAAGACACATCTGTGAGCTATCCAAGCAGTGACAGTTTGTAGAAAGCAGTAAAACTGTTGTACAGAAGATGGGGCTTTCTTCTGTCATGTGCCATGGGACATTCTTGACGTGGTAGGTCCTGCAGATGAGTAACTGATGTGCTTTTTGTCACATGGCTGAGAGAGGCTATGTTGCATTTCTACAGTGAGCGGCTGGGAATACTTCAGTCAATATATGACAACCTTTGTGGATTGATGCTGTCCAAAACCATTTTTGACCCCAGTTGCATTGCCCCAACAGCTGAAAGTCTTTTAGCAATGTGCTGTTTTGCTTTCAGTAACTAAAATCTTAAAGCATGCATGTGTCTGTATATATATACAACAACCAAGATACACGAGAAAGTATGTACTTTGGTAATTAAGATGCCGTGATATTTAGTGGAAGACTAGGCAAAATCAAAGGCCTCTCAGTGCTTTGCAGACATCAGACGTCTTTCCTAACTTTCAGCATCTAATCTATCTAGAACCTAGTGTAGATGTTACATAAATGATGTAATTATGTAAATGTATATTTAAATTCAGTTTGAACTGAAAAACATTGATATCAATTTAAGAGTTGTTCCAGTGCTTTTGTATCTCTCACTCTGTTCTATGGCATTGCTTTTCATTAATTATATTTTGACAGAAGAAATTCTTGCCCTTTTTTTTCAGACTGAAGAACAAATGTGCCTCTCTGAAGAGCAGCTTAAGACCCTTCTGGAAGAATGTATGCAGCCTCAGAGAACAATAAGCAACGTTACCATGCCAAAGTCTCAGGAATCTCTTTCTTGTGGATTAAGTCCCCCTTGTTACACAAGTCAAGATTCCACTCTTCACTCCACATCTACTCTTTCCAAAATGTTAGTTGAAGACCATATTGTAGGGATGTTAACGGCTCAGGAAAAGGCTGGACTCGAAGACAAAAGCTTATGTGTTAATGCAGAGAGTGAAATCCTTGGCTACTATATCAGCAAAGCATTGGCTGATAGTCACTTATCAAAGGATTCACTGGCCCAAACAGAGGAACCTGATGACCTAGAAGGTTTACAGAAGATGGGAGATAAGAGTATTACTGAAGGTTACTTTATGTCAAGAGCACTCAACACAAAAAGGCCGAAGAAACCTTCTTTCTTGGGTGAACCATTATATCGCATCAGCATGAACAATGAGCCATCCACAGAGGCTGACATTCTCAGCATACCACTGCAAACCAAAGGAGGTGAGACCCTTAACAACCCTTTAGAACAGGCTTTTGATTATGATGAAAAAACCCAAGCAGGTTCTCACCAAAGGTATGCACCACTACACACTCATTATTATGGTGGGGCAAGGATGTATTTTTATAAAACACAAAACTGTGCCAAAAATAACACACACAAAATAACAGAATGTCTATTCAAATTCTTGCCCTGACATAACTGACTATAAGACTAGGACTCTTATGAAATATAATATTGATGTAGATTAATTCTGTCAACTGGAAAACAGTGTTGACAACACACATGGATTATATTTTTGGTAGTAGAAAGTCATGTTCATTGTTCTGTGGAGAGCAAGTATTCTCCCAGTAGCTGATACAACAACTCACACAAAAATCCAAGTGTTTCTTGAATGTTTTTGATAATGTAAATTCGGTAGAATTGAAACAAACATGACCTAGCTATATTAAAAAAAATAAATTGTGTTCAGGGAGTTCAAATTTATACATAGAAGATAACAAAATGAAAAAATAATGCATAATTTCTATAAATTACTTTTAGGTCAGCAAAAGAAAGAATAGACTTTAACCAACAAAAAATTAAATTCACCCTATCTGACATTATAAATATATTTTGGAAACGTCTCTGGGTTTTATGTCTCTTACTTAAATGCAATTATATAGTGATATTGTCATCTAAATCTACATTTAGATTTTAGCCTAAGACTGCTTCTCTTCTGGAAAACAAGCTGTTCAAATAAGCCAGATTTTAGGAGGTACATCTACATCTTCAGTTTCTTTCATAGAAGTTGCAACAGTATGAAGTAATTTGTGATTAAGGTGCTATAGTATTAGAAATCAATAAATTTTGCTAGATTTGTGGAGATAGATTTTATTTTTTTTATACTGGTAATCTATTCGGAATTTGGAGAAACATTTTTTCACATTCATTGGTAAATTATAAGAACATTCTAATACCTCTTTACTATGTTATCATTTCTTAATTATGATCACAAATGTTTCTTTGATTGCTCATACTTAACCTTTCTACAGTGAAGAGAATGTTAATTTTTTTTTAAGTGATTCCACCTATCAGATAGCAAGAAGGCTTGTTATTTTCTGTTGCTGCAGACAAACTTGGTATTCAGACTCACCTTCCATATTTGCCCATTATGAGATTTAGGCCATAGCTGTAATAGGAAGAAAATAGATGTACACTTGTAGGAAGGGTTGGGTTTGGGATTTTTTTTGGTAGGTTAGTTTTCAGCTAACTTCACATGCCAGCTTTGCTCTTCACATAGATGCAAGCATCAGAAGAGTGGAGCAGAAGAAGAAGGGGGTAGTCTGCTCCAGAGAAGAGCAGCGTGGCAGTGGTGGTGATCTGCAACACCACAAAGAACCACCTCTGCCAGGAGCAACCTGATCTCATGCAGGATTAACACAACTATGTACCATACCACCAGTCTTCTTCAGCAACCTACAATGAGAAAAACTCAAGTTTAACTGGCTGCCTTCACATGAATTAAATTTCTCCTTCAGTCTGAATAGATGTAGTACAGTCAGAGTCACGTTTGACTCAGCCCCAACTACCATCTCTCTTTTTTAGTGTATTTTAAGATGGGATGAGTTAGATCAAGCAAAACACCGTGCACTGTAGCCACTATGTAGTGAAGTGAGCAGGTAACTGTTCATACCTGTTACGGTAGAGATAGTCACCATGAGGTAATTTTATTGCACAAGAGAGAAAGGAGATTTCAGCTATTAAGTAAATTTCCATATGGGACATCTCATGGTAAAAGTCTTTAAAGTGAATGTGTTAATTGTTTTCACATAGTAATTTAAATATCTTTGAATCGTAATTATGCACTGTGTCAGAGCAATGCAATAGGGTGTTTTGGTTATCTATTTTCAGTAGTGGCTGAGTAATGTTCAACCATATAGACCTCAAATCTGTATGGTTAATAAACATCTTGGTTTTATGGTCATTTTGCTTACCAAATTTCTTTGGGGGGAGGGGGCGAGTGGGAAAGTGTTTTGAATTTTCAGAGTCTCTTATTCTTTTCATTTTTACTAAAAACCTAAACCAAAACCAAGGATATCATTACAGATATCGTTATTTCATGAGGCTTTCAGTCTTTGTGTCAGTGTCTGTTTTTTAAAAATGGTGTGAACAGGTAATCTTTAGGCACAATAAAGCTAAGTGCAAAATAAAACCCACTTTAGAGGTTTGTAATTGTTTTACATTAGTTCCAAACATTTTGTAGTTACCCATAAGTTTAGATTAATTATATTCAGATTTATTGTATTTTGTTAATATTAGTCTAATGCTAAAACATACATTCAAAATTAGCATTTAAATGGACATCAGTCCATTCTTATTATTTTTGTCAATACACTCCTTATGAGAAAGTGTACAGGATAAACCAGAAAACCCTGATACTTTTCCATGGGATTGTTTCCTGCAAAGGTGACTCAGCTCTGTCTTAAGCAATTATTCTTGGCCATGAGCAAAAGGCTTTGATTTTTATCAAATTCTTAAAGTTGCCTAATGTATTCTATAGGTGAACTTGTTAGTTCAGACATGATTAGATGTGCTAATTGTATGGAGGAATGGAGATCCCAGTGGAATCAGGTTTAAGGCAAATACATCTGCAGGTGAAGGTGCCAGGTGTACTTTTTATTTTTAAGAGACATTTACATAGTTGAGCTTTGTTATGGTCTTAATTCTAAAGGACATTTAAACATTTATGCATAATCTTCTGTAAACTTTGATTTTCTGGCCTGCTACACATGCTTTAAACTCTGTGTGGTGCTGTGTAAGCAAACAAAACTATGTTTGTGTCAAACTGGTTTAGCAGAATTTTGATTTTGCAGTCATTATGGTACTGTAGTCTGTGATAGCATTACTTAGGGAAAGCATAATTATTAACATAAGTTATATATATATGTGTGTGTGTATATATGTAGGAAACTCTTATGTGCCTTCAGAGATAAGTAATTCCTTCTTCTTGAAAGAAGCAGGAATTTTCATCAGGGTCATACCCATGTATGTAAAGGTGATCTTTACAGAGATAAACAGAAGCCAGACTTACCCACATACAGGTATGAAAAGGTGGTTATTTCTCAGTTGTATGAGCCAACTGGTAATTATTTGCAGGGTTTTTTTTGGTTTGGGGTTTTTTTGGGCTATATTAAGTTTTAAGTAGAAGTTTTATCAGAAACCACTGTTGCTTTTTCCTCTTGCAAATAATATTGTGCTTGCAGCAGTTCAGCATATGATTCTTTTCTTTTTTACAGATGATACGAAGATTGAAAGTTGAGGGGAGAGTGATTATGTACTTCCTTTACAATGTTTTTTCTGAAAGTGTAGTTTTCAGACACTCTGAATGCAATGAATTGTCATCATTGAAAACTGTTCCATGAGGTGATTTATTCCTAAGAGATAATTATTATTACGATTATCAGATATTGTCGCAGTTTGATTTCAGAACTCTTGCACTTCATTAAATTTCCTGGGAGTGTTCTGTCTAACAAATTAATGTACATATGCATTTGTGTAACTGTGTGTCTGCTAGACATGCGTGTCTTAGTTAATGAAAAATATAAAATATGACTTGCAAATTCCATTTCTACTGATGAGACTTTATTAGAACGGATCTGAAACGTATATAATAATTTTATCTTTCCTCCTTTACACACAGTCTACTTTTTTCCATGTAGTTAGGTAAAACCTGGCTTCCATTATCCCAGAACAGTTTGCTGGAGCTTGCAGCCTGTCTGACTGCTGAGCCCTGACTCAGTGAGGGACCAAAATACGTACTCAATCTTCTGCCCCAGGGCTCTCTGCTGGACTGCTGGTTTGACTGAAGGTAAAGACTTGGTAAAGTCCTTTGCTGGATCAGAACATCAGCACCAGTCTGCTCAGCTGTGTCTGATTCCTGATCCTGCAATGAGTGTAACCATATAGCAAACAATCTTATCCTCTGGTTAAGAAATGTAACTAAGTGATGAAAGATCACAGTCCCTTGTGAAGGTTTGGTGCGAGTAAAAGTGAAGGAGTTCAGAAATTTGCCCTAGCAGTTACTGCATTATGAAATCTTATAGTAATGGCTAGCTGGGGGGATGGTAATACAGCTGTTTTGTGTTTGAGATAATAATAAAAATTCATTACAAGTTTTTGCTTGTCTACTCTTCTGTACTTATTTACTGAGATGATGGTTAGTTTTTAATTTCATGCACTGTAGTGTTAGAATAAGAAGAAATTATTAAAAAAACATGGCTCACTTTTAAAGGTTTTTTGGGGGGGAGAAGGGAGAGAGATTCTAGCAAAGAAAACTCAATAGATTTTCCCATTGCCAAGCTCTCAGCTGACACAAGCTAGAAGGATAAATTTTTTCTCAGATACTGTACTAGCCATTTAACATTCAACAAGAAAAGATGTATGGATATGATGTTAACTATGCAATGGCTGCATTATGGCATAGGGCTTACTTGAACTAATCTGAATGTTTAAATTAATGCACATATTGGCCCAAATTTTAATCTCATTTATGGAGTTGCCACTCCAAGTGGACGTACACTCCTGAAGAAGTGGTAATCATATGGATATAACAGAGATTGGAATCTAAAGTACTTTCTTTTAGTTAAAAATGTAAGTGGGACACTATATTTGTGACAAATAGCAAGTGCTATTTATTGTTTTATTTTCTGATATTTTTACTTGTTTTGCAACAGCAATACCAAATCCATGGATACTGGGTGGTCTGCATGGTACCATTGCTCTGCATAGGATTGCTGTAAGCATGTTTCATGGAGCTTTGAAAAATCTCACCTAGATGTATTTCTTATCTTCCTTAAAAATTTTAAGTCTGTGCCATAATTTCTTTACCATAAACATAACCAAAACAATACTGACATAGCTTTTTCAAGAGTATTTTCTGTGCCTGTGTGATATTTGTGCAGGACTGTCTGCTGGCTGTAATCTTTCCACAGTCCAGTTATTTTCACATGGAATTCATGTTTTACAAAGTTCTTCTCAAAACCAGCATTAAAGTGCTTGGATAGCTTTTGAAGAAAATTAAGTTCTCTTTCAAGTTTATACCTAGAATATCTACAATTTATATTAAGAAAAATAATAACTAATTTTTACTTTCCTAGTGTATTTTGTTATCTTAAATCTCTCACTGTTATGAAAAAGCTTTTCCTAGCACCCCCAAGGAAGAGCCTGTTCCTGACTAAGCCTTACAGTATTCCTGAAGCCATGAATACAACTTTTATTCACATCTGACATTTCAGGGGATAAGCAGGCAAGTTTGAATCCCTATTGACCTGAAGAGTATATTCCGACAGGAACTCTATTACTTCACTTCAGGTCTTGGGAATGTTGAGCACCCTGCACCAGTTGTAGTCATTGCAAACTGCAGGGACCTAGAGCTCATGAAATGCCATTCCAAAGGTGCTTAGTGTTAGTACCCGAACTCTGAGACTGTGTCAAATATTAGTTACTTAATGTTTGTCTGTGCTTGGTTTCTACTGCACTATATTAAATAACAAGTTCTTTGGGAAGATTTTATTTCTTGCTTGATGCTGCAGGTGAAGTGCCAATTCAAGCCCTCCTTTATTTATTTTCAATTTTAAGTAAAACCGTAGGAAATAAAATTATTTGGTAAAACATGTTTACTGGTATGAGGGACAGAATAACAGAGATATAAAATGTAGTGACAAGGTCATTTGCTGAAACATCACCAATATCAGGGTAAAAGGAAAGTTGAATCCAGGAGGATTCATGGGTTTTTCCTTGTTTTTCCAGTGTCTGTTGGTTGTGACCTGCAATAACCCCTCAGTCGAGCTTGCCACTGGAATTCCAGCTGCACTGGAATGCGGCGGCTTCTCCTTGGGGAGTGATGCAGCAGTGATGATTAGGATACTCAAATGAATTCCCTTTTGCAGCCTAACTCAGAATTTGAAACAGCTTTTCCAAGATACATGCCTTCCTTCAGTGTAAGTTCTATTTGGTAAAAAATTCTGACAACTAGCTTCTTTACAGTCTTTCCTAGCTCTGTTCATCCCAAAGCACAGCAGAGCACAGGAGACTTTTAAAGTTATCCTCCTGACTTTTGGGCTTCGAGATCTGTTTTTTATTGAGGAATAAGAAATTCTGCGTATGCATGTAGGTTTGTGCTGCTTTGTGCTCCTAATTCCCCGCTATGACTTTACAGCACAAGATAGACAATCTTGCTCCAAAAATTTAATATTGGTGGAAGCAATATACCCATGAAGAGAAGACTGTAGTGTGATTGCATCTATTTGCTGAGCCATATATGACCAAACCATTCTGCCATTGTCACTGAGACTCCTCAGTAATAAACAGGCGGTGCTGG